ATGCATATGTAGGAATTGGTAATCATGCTTAGCAAAGCTTAGTATAGATTATTAATGATGTATTACAATCCATCCGTACATGTTGAAACTCACTTTTTTGTATATGAAATTTTATATATGAATCAAAGTAAAGGTAAACGTCACGATTTGGGTCGTCAAGATCGTGATAAAAAAGTTAGAAAAATGCTGTTAGTAGATATACATCGCGTCTTTGAGAAAATGTGTGGAACTTATACGAAACTAAACTATTACCCTTTAACGTGACGACCACTTTCTCTAGGAGTATGCATATTTTCCAACAAGGAAAATAATTTTCGCGTAAAATTAGGAAAAATTGTAATAAATATGATAGTACTTCATAAACTCAAAGTAATTATAACAGGTAAAGAATTAAAAATCGATTCAAGTTAAATATTCATGCACGCATCATAGCTATTATTCCTTCCCTATCCTTCAACGTCAAAAATTTAAATAGTCATGTTGTCAGAAATGAAACATTTTTAATTATCGATCAAGCGAATGAATATGACAACGAGTGTATTAAATATAATTTATTGCCGAACCAATATTATAAATCATCTCCTAGTGTTGTCTGTGGAATGAGGACATTTCACAAGGTCAGAGACACTTTTGGACAATGGCTCATGAAATTGCATATGCCATCACACGATACATAAGCATGTTTTTATTCCGTGATTTCCAACTCCGAATCATTCAACACTTCTTTAAGAGTTGGTTAACATCGGATGCTGAATGAATGTCCAAATAGGACTTCACTAAATATTATTTTTGGTGTAAGTCACGTGATAAGTTTTTTTTTATCTAAGGGTCATACAAACACGTCGAAAAATCAAATTCGTTTACGATACATTTATTATTCACTAGAACTAAAGACGGAATTTCTTTCCATTCTAAATTTAGATTTGTTATCTTTGTTGAATGATTTTATAGATGATTTGGTAAGCCTTGTCTTATCCACACCGAATCGCGCTGATTTAATATCTCTTTTGATTGGGGATTCTAATTCAAAGACATGAGCTGATTAATTCATAGACATAGAGGAATTAACAAATTAACAGTTCTTAAATTTATCTGGATCCGCCACCCAGAATGATAATGAATTGAATTTCATTTCGGTTGATGCGACAGAGTGGGAAAATTACTGAAGATTTAATTCCAGAAGTTTACTTTGCAAATTATGAATCATGGTGAATAGAAACTTAAGTGCATGACTTCTGTAAAATGACCCTTACTCTACCAAATTTACCAATTTGCATATGATATAATTTCTCAAATAAATTGAATTTGTCTTCTTAATAAATGATCTGAACTGTCTTATTGTAAAATAAACTATTAATTTAATAATCATATTCTCCAGTTCCATTTTCAATTTCAGTGTCATTTGGTTCCTCTACATTATAAAAAATTAATAAGGGCTTAAAATTATAAAATTTTAATAACTGAATAGATATTTATTATTCACTCACCATTATCAAAATATTTCTCTACAAAAAATTATTTTTTTTTAAAAAAAAAAATAAAATAATGAATGAGCCAATTCATAAATAATTTAAATTCTCAGATTAGTACATACCATGTATTTCTTGTTCTTGCGTATAAATATCATCGTATTCCTCATTAAAATCTACCGAATCATAATCAAAGTCGGGCTAACAACAATAACAATTTAACATGCATTTTGATAATTAATCCCCCTAAATCACAGCATTATTTAAACTTACATCTTCACCAGACATGAATTTCTCTCTCATTATATCCACAAGATCAGCTCGAAGTTGTTCCTTTTCTTCATCAGATATCTGCGGAACTTCGTTATTCACAGCAGATGTCACACTATCATTTCCTTCCATTTCAATATTTTCTACATTAAATACTTTCGCCTTTTCCTCGATTTCATCTTCTTCTTCGTCCTCTTCCTCCTCTTCTTGCTCATTTTGAATCCTTCTTTCTTCTAATAACCTATCGTGAATATAATTTTGATCTAGATCATAATAAACTCTATTGATTAAATTAACATCATCATCAAATGGTTGATATCTTTCTTCTTCAGGAATATATTGACCAACATAATCTTCATATAAACTTGGTTCTCTCATTTCCATTGCTTCATTACTAAAATATGACGTATTGTCGAGTTTTGTTGTAAGATATTTAAATCTTCTATTAAGAATTTGTTTATTATGCCTTGAATTTGGTAAAAGTTGCCTTGATATTATTGGAGGTTCACTTGCTATTGATGAAGAGATTGTATTTCGATTTTGTGTAGAAAGTAATTTGTTTAAATACCAATTTACTTCATAATCATCTACGAAATAAATTTTAATTAAATTATTTTTTTTTTTTTTAAATTAAAAAAAAAAATTCCTGGAAAAGATTTACATATATTACATACTTCTTAAACACTCGAATTTTTCTAATTCATTTTTAGGTAAAAATTTACCCCACCTTGTTAAAAACAATGCGGGATCATTTCTCAATGTTTGTTTTATCACGGATAATTTTTCGTCATCAGTCGCTTCAACCTCGTTCTCTCTCAATGACTTGAATTGTATAGATGATAAATTATTTGATATATAATCCAAAATTTCTTCTTTTATTTTATTTTCCATATTTTTAAAAAGTGTGAAATGAGTGTGTGTTTTTGCATTACTAATAGAGTTTACATTTAGCGCATTTATGATTAAAAAAAATTTGTAGATCCATTACATGATCACAAAAAAATTTTTTCCTTTTGAGGGAAAATTTGTTTCAGCCCTCGGCATAATGGATTTCTTCGGAAAATCATCTGGATATTAAATATATTAAATTTAATTTTTTTATACTTTAAAATTTAAATAATAAAAATAATACTTAAAAAAAAATCCTACGTATAAAAATCTCGTTAAATAATTTGCAAAACTCAAAAAAAAAGTAATATTATATCTAAACTTATAAAAATATCAAATAATTTGACAGCTAAAAGTCAAAATAGATTTAGATAATATAATAATCTTTTTTTAATAAATATAAAAAAAATTATTAATTATTTTATTTTTTGATTTTACTTAAAAATTATATATTTTATTATAAATATTATTATTAATAATAATTTTAATTATTAAATGATATTATTAAAATAATTATTAAACAAATAATATAACTAATAAATATTAATACTTAAAATTAGTAAATTATAATATATATATATAAAAAATTTATAAAATTTATATAATCTTATATTATAATTTAATATGAACTTGACTTAAAAATATTTATATATAATAAAGAATTTAGGTTAATTCAAATATGTCATTTGAGGCCATTTCAAGGTCATTATGCTTCGCTTATATGATGTTTTACATAACTTTGTTGTCAGTATGTAATATTTCGTTTCATTCAATAACAATTATAATATCTAAATACGGAGTAATTTAATTCTGAAAATTTTCGGTTCGTTTATAAAAACTTTAAATACAATTATAGTGCTTCGTTTACTATTTATGATGTGAAAATATTTTCAGGAGGATTACGTGCATCTTTTAAATTCTTCCTTATTGCGATAAACACTTTTTCCGTGATTTAGTGTTCCGAGAAGAGTATATGTCGGAATCGGAGACGGTTAACTTATTAACGGTTAAAATAGTTAATTTTAACTACGATCGACCAAAAAATAGCGAAAACAATTTTAGAAGTTTGGCACTAGGTATGTCTTTTAAGGCGGAATTATGATATTTTATGATGTGATTACTAAAATTTCGCTTTCCGACTAAATTTATAGTGCCTGCCTGAGTTAAATTTAACCGATTAAGAATATTCAGGCCTATTGAATAGGTGAGTTGAAAAGTAATGAAAGAAATGATGAGAAAGTTCTTTATTAGTATATTAATTGGATATAAAAGAAGCGCTATTTTTATATTATAGTTACTTGTTTCAGGATAAAGCCTTAGCATTCCTTATACTCATTAAATTATTTTAGAAAATCGTAATAATTGTTATATAAATATATTCTAATTTTTTTTTTTTTAAATTGTAATTCTATTATGCATTACGTTAATTTCTTGAATTATTAATCAAAAACATTTTGGTAACCTTTCTTCCTTTGACCATTACTCACGTGTTTCATAAATTTTATCTCACACACCATAAACTTTTGCCAATTTATTTCTTTGTCAACCGATTCTTTAAAAATTTTCCTGATAGGGGGGATAGAACTACTCGTATTTTTGACTCGGATTGTACTACAAGTCAGGCTTTACTACCAATAATCTTCATTATAATCACGTGGTTTGATTCAATAATCTTTATAGCAATAGAACATCGACACGAGTTATATTTCGATCGAATGTTTTATTATTAATGTGTTCACTTTATATCAAGTATTCATATTATTTTATTTGTTTTAAATTTTCCACCGATATTCGAATTCCTCCGTTAGCAGGATATTTTTTTTTTTTTTTTTGCAAAAGGCAGTAAATACTAGATTATGACACTTTTAAGGCAATTTGGATTCATTTATTTTTGTTTTTAATAAAAAGTCCCTTGATAAATCAAGTCCCATTATTATTATATTTATAGATTGGGGCGAGTCATGGAAGTAATATTGTTCGTGCGGATTTGTTTCATTGTATTTAGAGATTTTTTATTAAAGTTTTAGTATCAACATTTTAGTACTAGAAACTGGATTCCATTAAGGAGTAAGGTAATGTGTAATCTATTTATTGTTGTATTATCACAGAAAATTTGGTAAGCTTGCTATGGTTTGCATCCATTCATCCTTTTTATCGTCAGGTACATTTAATAAATACTTAAAATTCGTTATATAACAATTAAATAATCAATTAATCGAATTATAAGATGCTAAGTAACGCGCTATGCGTTATTACCATGATTTGTGAATTATTTTTTTTTTAAAATGAAATGTGTCGAGGACATCTTTTATTAATATCAATGAATTTGAGAACAGGAAGCAGGTGGTTTTTTAAAATTCTTTTAATTATCAGCGAAATTATTTGTCTTGCCTTATTGTCTTCCAAGTTTTTTGCTTCATTACTGAGCACCCTTTTATTTGTGGAAAATTATAATGATTATTGTATAAATATTGACGTTAATTTTAAATGAAAAATTTTATTAATTGACAATTTATGATAAAGCTCCAGATCCGATTTAACCGAAACATGTGGTGAGAGTATAGTGATAATTACTTTGGTCAGCCGTTTACGGGTAAGTGGAAAATGGAACTAAATTTCTCATTTAAATTTGATCTAGAATTCAGGATAAACAATCGATTATTTTTTATTCTTATAAGAAGCTTGGTACTTCTGTCTTATGTCTTATGGAAGATTGATAAAAATTTTTGTTTTTTCGGATATGTGAAGGTTGATAAGAAAAAGAAATAAGACTGATATGAATTCCATGTCAATTTTGCAACCGTCGATTGTAAATTACAAGATCATTTACTATTATATATAAAATGCCTAGAAACCCAAAAATCTTTTCAAGAACAAGAATGACTTTTAATAATTTAGTCTCAGGAAGGAAGAGGAAGTAATGAACAAGCAACCAGTATTTTATTTTTTTTATTTTAAAAAAATTATGATCTGGACATATCGACTTGAAATTTATAATAAAATTGGTCATTTAAGGTCATTTGAGGTCATTTCAGGGTCATGTTCTAGACATAGTCTAGAAACTTAAAGTTGGAAAATCAAATCAACGATCTATCGTTTTATAGAGTATACCCAACAGAAGAAAGATGATCCCAACAGATCCATAAAAACGTGATCTATCAGGTCTAATGGTATGGAAAAGACGTATTTCGCTCCTCATAGACAGGTATTCTGAAAATTGACGCACTCATTGATGAACGAGAGAATCGAATACAACTTTGATTTTAATAGTAAATCTAATTAGATACAATTTATATGTAATAATCTTTCTAGGAACATCATTATATAGAAGACACTCGCGCCAAGAATTTTGGACCCGTGGTAAAAAAAAAAAAAAAAAAAAAAAAATAGACATTTTAACTTTAGTTCGAACTCAAGCATCGATGAAAAATGACTAGACTTATGAAGTTTCGTAGATGGTAACTAAAATTGTTACCAATATATTATAACAGAGCCACTTGTTATACTATTTCCTTTGGTCATATTAAACTCAAAGGCGGCGCTAAACAGTTTGTCAATCCGTTAATTAATGGTATTATTTAACTATATAAATAAAATCATTTAAATCACATCTTTTTTTCAGTTATTTTGAAATCACAAAACAGTATAATATAGTCATTGGGGCAATAAGACTTGTTGTTGTGATGTTAATAAGTGATTCGAATAGAATAATAAAATAAATCGTCTCAAAAGAGAAAATTAACGTTCAGGTCGTTTTATTCGGCAAAAAAGAGAATATATGACAAATGGATTTTTTTTTTCAGAGTCGAAAAAAAATATTGTTAATCCTTTCGAATTGAATTATAATTACCTCAATATTTTTTCTTTTCTTTTTTTTTAAATAAAATCATAATATAATAGTGAAATGAATGAGTTTAAATTTGCCGAATATTTTCAAAGAATTATGTTACACGAATATATGAAACATCTTAAGATGCCCTTTAGATTTATTAGAAATTCATATGTATAAATTTATTTAATTAGCGTTAGGTTATCCTGATAATTTGTAACGCATTCGCCATGTTTGTCATAAAGCGGAATTATTATTAATTTTTTTTTTTAAAAAAAAAAATTTTGATATAATTTTCTTGCATAAATTTTAATAATAATGATATTGATAATATATAGAGAAAAGTTTTTATCTCAGAATGATGGTTTGCATTAAACAATATGTTGATATAGTATAACAACAATGCTTTTAGGAAGCGAATTTTCAAAGAAAAAGTTAAGATTTTTTATATTTATACTATCAACGCTTTCGTTTAAATGACCAGCTTAATCTTTAAATTGATTTTTAAAAATACTAAAATGTCAAGAGGGTATTTAATTTAGATTATTAAAGAATAACCCTAAATATAGTATATATGACAGTCTGTCATGTGATAATTTCTTTTCAAAGATTAAATTCTTCAATCCTTCAGAAACGATAGTTATACGTTTTTAAAGTTAATATTGTTTTTATTGCCGCGAATTATCAGACCTTCAAGAATTCGTTATGAAGACATAAAACACTTTGCAAGGTTAATTATTTACCGGAAATGTTATCAAAAATTGTATACATTGCTGTTGACAGAAGATAATATTCTTTGACGAAATTTCAACTATTCCGTCAAAAGATAAAGAATTTGGCCGATTATCTATTACAGAACTTCTTGTATTTAAATGAGGTTCTTCGATATAGTGTTATTTTAATTGTAAGACAAATTTCTAACACTATATTTACTTCCCGATCTAAAATTCAATAATAATTAACTTGACTCATCAAGGGGCTTTTATTGAATTTAGTGATTTCGAATTGCCTTAATAATGTCATAATTAAGTATATATTTCCTTTTGCAAAAATCATATAAAACCATTCAGAGGATATTCGATTTATAAATGGATTTGAAAAATTTGAAACAATTTACTTCCAAAAATAGAATAAAATGATATTAATAAAGATTATTAGGTCAAAACCACGTGATTAAATTATTAGCAGTTGAATACTCAAGTAATAACGATACCGATAAAATCTGATATTTAGTACAAGCCAGGTCAAAAATACGAGTATGTTTATCGAATAGTAAGCTTATTTGATACTCAAAACCTTATCAGGATACTTTTACGAAAATAGTAAAGAATCGGTTGACAAAAAAAAATTGACAATGATGTTTCCAATGTTTATGTATGTGAGATAGAAACACGATGAGTTAATGGTCAAAGAATTCCTAGTTGAGAAGATTACCAAAATGTTCTTTGATAAGACGGCACAGATCATTTAGTTTTGGCCCATAATAGAATTGGTGATCAATCAAAATTTTCAAATTGTTTTTTAAGGATATATAAGTCAGAATCGAAACAATAATTACGACTTTCTAAAATAATTAATGGAATAAAGTATATGGAATGCTAAGGCTTATCCTGAAACGAATGATTATGTGCCGATCATAATTTCTCTATAAAATGCCATTACTTTCAACCTATCTTCAATAGAGGTTTGAAATTAAAAATCCTCAAACGGTTAATTGCCGGCTTAAATTAACTCAGGCTGGCACTATAAATTTAGTCAGAGCTAGCGAAATTTTGTAATCGCATCACAAAAGTCAACTCCTAAACTAGTTTCGGATTAACCTATTTATTATCCGAAAATTAAATTTCTTTAACCGGTTAGCAACAAACGGAAGAAGTTCTTATTGCAAAAAAAAAGACTTCATTAAATGAACCTCTCTGACTTGATAGATTTAATTCCACGGTTTGTTCTTATAAATGAGATGAAAAAATTTCATTCCGTTATTTCAGTAGTCCTATTGTAATAAATGGAATGGGACGGTATTTTGTATACCGACATAATGTGTTTCTGTACCAAAGTAAACATCAAATAATCGAAGCAAGTATTCATCTTGGTTTAATGATGGCTAAGCTTTTAATTAGATTAGATTACTGAATTTTTATTTAGAAAATAAAACATATTAAACGAGGTTGCTTGAAAGAATGCATAAAAAAAAAAAGTTTTCTAACAAAGTTTTTGAAACATGTTTTAGAAAGGAAGTACTTAATGGGAGTATTAACGGGAGTGAATTGTTCCGACAGTTTTAAGAGAGTTGGAGGAAGAAATTCTAGTTTTTTTTTTTAATAACGATAATACAATACATTACTTTATCTTTATTTTCATTCTTTATATATTTTATACTTTTAAATATCATTTATACCTTGCTTTATACATAAGTTTAGAAACTTTATAAAGGACCAGTCATTCTGTCGACAGGGTTTTTACAAGTTTTTGTAATATGTCTTGAAAAAATTTAGGAATTCTACCATAAGTAAAGCTTTATATTACAATTTCAACAATCTTCTTGTATTCCTTCATATTGATTGTGATAACTATCCTATACACGTGAATCAATAAACAATTCTATAAAACTCTTTTAGAATATTAGGCTTAGGAAGATTTTTTGGATATCGTTTGCTAGTTTGTTTCGATACAATTCCAAGTCTAACAGGCTAATAAAGGAAAATGTGATAAAATAGGTTTTCCTAGAAAGAATTATGAGAGAAAATGTGACATTTTGGCATGACAAATTGTTTTTGTTTTAATAAAAATATAACATATCTGCTGGATATGTGGATTAATGTGTGTGCCAATATAAATTTTGTAAATATTCAGTGTTGCCTCGCTCTAAGCTTTCTTTATTAACTCAAATAAATGCTAATCAAAAAAATGCTAATTAATTTTTTAACACTACGTAAACTACTAATCGGAAAATTAAAAATAAACAAAAATTAAAATGATGAAATTAACAATGTTACAACGTTACAATAAAGAAATTAAATAGCTAAAAGTGATAATATGGCAAAACGTAAGAATGTAAATCATGTGCGTTGTCCACTCCCTAAATTGTCCGAAATTGATCTACAAAGGCTAACCAGATTTGGTGAAGGTAATTTATAATGATCATCATAAAAGCAATTAAATATTCGGTACATGAAATCCTAAGCGTGAATGATAGCAATTTAACTTTATAGGTATATATTAATGAAAATAATGAGCGGAATGTGTCTCGGGAAAAAAAAAGTATGTATGCTAAAATTATCAATTCAAAACAAAATACATGATAGAGATTTATATTGTAAACTCATAAATATCAAGCCTTTTACTACTACACACTACCTAAATAACAAATATCTCAAGGCCTTCCTCAGAGAATTTAAAAAAATAAATAATTATCCCGATTCAATTGTGTAGTTTGTTATCACAATCAGAAGGTTGAAATGTTGAATATTATCTTTATTAATTTGTAGAGTCTCAAAACTTATTATTACATTGACAATCAGGTCGAATTACAGGACTATTTATATACCAATTCTATGCTAATGCTTTCTTATGATCATAAATAATGAAAATAAATAATGAATAATATAATAAACTGAATAAATATTAATAATAAAAAATTGATAAATATATTAAGCGTGTGCTATTGGACGACTTATATAGCGCAGTTATCCGTTAGTCCGGCCTTTCTATTTTCGAATACGACCAATTGAAGTACATAATTTACTTTATTTAATTTTTTTTTTTTAGCAAAAATACCGTGCGTCCATCGAATCATAAGTTGCTGCAGGTTAGAATGATTGCTACATGATATATGTAGGTGTACTGACATTTTCTATACATTTTATGTACGAATTTGCAAGGTTTTGGATAAAGAAATTGAAGCCGATTCATGATTTCTTTGTTATGAAGAATATAAAAAGTTGAAAAAATATGTGATCGAAAATATTATTTGTATGAGAATGTAACACTCGATTTTCTCAGAATACAATTATTGAGGTATAATTGTTTTGGAGGGGAGAGCGTGAAGTGTTTATTACCAGAATAAAAAAGCCACTGGTTCCCTTATTCAAAGGCGCAGTGGATTCTTGCGCAGCTTGTCGTGGAGTTGATTCATAATTTATTTATTTAATTTCTCATATCTAAATAAATAGATTTACTTTATATTATCTTATTACATAAAAAATTTCGTATAACTTTATTCAATAGATCGTGGTTGCAGGATGTTTTTTTGGTCACAAGATGTATAGTATAATCAGTGGCGCAATAAGACGTGTTGTGTTATGGTTTGACATAGGTATTACGTACGTCAAAAAGAAAAATTGACGAAATTTGTTCAGATTGTACAAGATCGTTTTTGTGTGGCAAATAGAGAGAATATGAAACAAATGGAATTTTTTTTTTTCACCTCAAGTCTAAAAAAATAAACTTTAAACATATCATTATCTTTCTCAAGAAATAAAGTAGTTTAATTGAATGGATAGAAAATTACAATTAAAAATTCATATTCTGTGAGCAAATATTAAGCCCCGTTTGATCTTGCGTGTCACGTGAATAACAATATAATATTTACATCTTTTTTTTTATTAAAAAAAAAAAAAAATCTAAAACAATTCCAAAATTTCATTTTTAAAATAACAACATCTTATCAACTTTTGTTTTGATGTGAATATTTCATACTATTTCATTAAACCATAATGTGATTTATTATTATTTTTCACGAGTACATGTATTTAACCTAAATTGTAATTATGAACATACGGATAAAATGAAGAAGAATCATAACCGAGTATTAAAAATTCATTGTCAGTAACGAAACTTTAAATAATGTTTCGGGTCAATAACACATGCGATACGGTATGAAGCTAATTTGAAATTCCCAGTTTTTTTTTTTTTTTTTTTTTTTTTTTTTCATAATAGACCTTCCACTTCTTATACATTGTGTTTCTTTCATTCTTAACATTTTGATATTCATGTGGCAAGTTTTGATGAAAATCAACAAAAAAAAAAAAAATAAAAGAAAAGAAAATAAAAAAAAAAATAGTAAAATCCTTACGTTGCTAATGAGGCTTTGAAACAAATAATTCAACGATGTGATAAAGGAAAACGGGTTGGTTATTGTTATATTAAGCCCAAATAAAAAAAAAAATAAAGAGAATTCCACGCCCATTATTGTAATTCACACAGCCTCTAAATGTTAACAATTACGATTTGCTTTTTTTATACAACCATCCTTTTTTTTTTTTTATTTCTTTTTTTGACGTTTAAAGAATTTCTTTAACTTTTACCATTTTTTTTTAAAAAAAAGAGAAAAAAAAAAGAAATAAAAAAAAAGCATATAAAGATATGTAAAAAAGACTCGCATCGGTCAAAAATTTTCTCCTCTGATCATTCAAAGACAAATCTTGCTTCCTTCTCGTTCAATAATTATCTTGTACTTAATATTTCGTTTCATTTACCCTTTTATTTTGTTGAGCCACATAAACGAAGGTTGTAAGCATCGCATAGTGGCTCGTGATTCAACAATTTCACCTTTATCAGAAACGTTAAATTAATCAAAAGAGACAATTCAGATATGGCGCAAGATTCAATATCATCAACAAATTCCCTAATTCTACAAGCTATAGTTGGAATGCTAATAGGAATCTTAGGAATATTTGTAGGAGTTTGTTGTAGTTTCTATTGCCTGCGCAAACAAGGTTATACCTTTCCCACCGATTATAAACTCATGGGAAGAGGAAAAAACATAGTCGTACCTAAAGGAGCTGAAAAGCGTAAGCCGCCGCGAATACCTTCGCTCCACTTTGATAATGATAACGATGAATATTTAACATCGAATCCATCTGAACAAATTGTTATAGTGAGACATGGTTCTGCCGCTGATTTTCCGGAAACCGCAGAATCTTTTCAGGATTTATCACTTTCAGTTCCTCATGCAGTTTATGGATCTGCTTCTGCCTCAGCTTCTATGACCAATATTGCCTCGGCCCAACAAAAATCCGCCCGGTCTTCTGATAATGAAAGTCAAGAAATGACGAGATCTCATTCAAGATGATCTTTTTTTAAAAAAAAAAAAAAAAAAAAAAAAAAAAAAAAAAAAAAAAAAGAGGAAGAATATTCCGCACGAATTGTAAATATCTTTTTGGTTACAAAAATTTAGAATTAATGAAATTAATATAATAATAATTGAACGTAAAAAGCCATTTCATTGTATTTTTGTATTTTTTATTTTATTTTATTTTATTTTATTTTTTACGTTCCTATATTTTCCTTTTTATCTTAGTAACATCTATCAAATAATAAACATTTTTTGGTATTAATTACGTATTATTATTATCATTCATAGATTCCTTGCGTGGACTGATATCTCGTGACATGCTAAAGAGTATTAACGTCCGCAGCCGACGCGGCCGAAGCCACATGAGGCTATGCAGTGACTCACTCCCGTTATTTTTGAACTTTTGAACATCAAAAAGAAAGTTACACTGCCACAAACAATTGTGAAAATCAATGTTTTTCACGTTTTTTTTATTATTTATCGAATAGAAGTTACGCTTTCCAAGAAATAAATGTCAAAAAGAAATTGTGAAAAAAAAAAAAAAAATTTGTATTCTATGGAAATTACATTTAGAATGTTCAAAGATCATTAAAGAAAATTGAAGAAATATTACCAAATTTATATAAATCATTAAAATATGACTAGCCTAGCCTTTAATTTTAAATCAGGTCATTGATTGAATAAATATGTACTTTTTTTTTTTTTATTAAAAAAAAAATAATAAAATTTTTTATTGAAGTTTAAGAGAAGGAAAAAAAAAAAGTTAAGAACAAAAAAGACCGAAAATCCATTCAATGAAGAAATTTTTTGAAACGAAAAATAGAATAAAAAAAAGTACAAGGAGTATAAATACTTTTTGTTTAATGAGGCTTCGCTAAAATATGATTTTTCTTGATCGTTTTCATTTTTCTGTCTAATCAAATTAACAAATTTCTTAAAAATGTTGGATGGTTAATTTGATCAGGTTAATTTAGGTTTATTTACTTATTATTTATTTATTTCAATCGACGAAATGAGATTACTGTTTTCGTAATGTACCGATTAAATAATTCCCCCCCCCCGAAAGGTTAGATAGAATTATCTTTGATCAAGAATAAACAATAATAATAACAATGGTTAATTAAGAACAAATACATTATCGATATTATGGCTGTGTGGGTAATGTTTCTTACATTTTAGGAAATAATCCATTTTATCTTAGATATTTTCCCTATTAAACGCATAGCCACGATCATGAATCTTTTCGGAAAGGGATTAATTAAGTAAGGATCACGGATTTTGTTGATAAAAAATAGTTATTTCCACACAATTTTTTTTTTTTTGTTTTAAATTTTTTTGTCTAGATTAAATAAAATAGCCATAAGCACTTCTTTTTTTTAAAAAATGGTTGTTATTTTTTATTTTTTAATCAATCATGCGTTAAAGGAATAAGTTTTTTGGTTTTTTTTTTTTGACTTTCGCATAAGATAAATATCAAAAGAATTTTATTTCATTGTAATTTGTTCTTTTGTTTATTTATTTGATTTTATTTTTTTAGTTTTATTATCATTATTATTTTTGTTGAATTATGTGTCAGTATAATGAAGACGATGATGATAAATATAAATATGTTTATGATGAAGATTGCTTAGAATATTTTACGCATGAAGAAAAGTACATTCCAAAAGTTAAAGGTCATGACGATAACTCTTCTAAAGTAAATGATGAGAACGTAGAAACGGAATCATACGCTCCTGGTACAATTTATCAAGAACTCACCATCGCGGACGATCAAGTTTCGTCCCATTCATCAAACCAATCGAACGATCATCATCCAGGATTCTTTCAAAAGACTTCAACAATAGTTTTTTTTGTTATAGCCATAATATTGGTTTTAATTATCGGGATCATATTAACTTACTTCATTGATCGGAAAAGAAGGAGGAAAAATCGTGGGCCCCAAAACGAAATTAAAACGTGGAAAGATCCCGATAGTAAAAATCCTTTTAAACCTGAAAATCCCCCAATAATCATAATCAAGAGTCAAGAAACTCCAACAGGAACTACCACACCGGTTCAGGTTCCGCATCAACCACCTCCAACGTCTCAAACATCTCGACAACCAGAAGTGCAAGAATCTGCACCATATCATGTTTCCAATCCTACAGACCCTATTGGAAGAGTTCCTTTACAGTCTCAATCGAGTCGATCTTCTTCAGCAAGTAGAGGGTCACCTTCAGTTCATGAACCATCTGACATCGAACCACCAATCATACAACAACATCCACCTGACTATTTTAATCCAATAATTGACAATCCGCTCATACACCACTCAATTGGTACGGGGGATCCACCCGACAATCCCGGATCTCCGTTGCCTGCTACTCCTCTTAGACAACCTTCTCGACATGGACGTTCTCCTTATCGAGGACCTCACTAGAACAATAATAATCGCTAAAAAATTGTTAACACCTTTTTTTTTTTAAACAATTGTATATACATAAATAAGTTTTATCTACTTAATAAGTAAAAATCGTTTTTAACATTAGTAAATAATTTAAATCTGGTAATTTCGAATTTTTTTTTTTTTTTATTTTTTTTCAGAAACGTAAAGTTATAACACGATGATTTCATTTATGAAAGTAAATTAACATTTTATACTGATATACTGAATCATTTCTTTTTTTTAAAAAATTTCTAATAAACAAAAAAAAATTTTTTCACTTAAAATTGAACGATAAACTACTTATGTTCATTTATTCGTGGCTTTACGTTATTAACAATATCCGTATTGAAGGCTTGATTTCACAGGTTATACAATAAATTCCTTGCAAGCTCACAAGGTTCCTTAAAAAAAAACGAAGGGTGAGCCAATTCATTTATGTAAAAGGATGGAATCTTTTAATATAAAAATACTATAATGTTTAACACATAGTTCTAAATGCTTTATGAAGTTATAGAATGCCATTTTTGATTGTGACGGAAAAAAAAATCCCAATATTATTATATTAATGATCACGCTGTTACGAGAAACAGGCAGTTCCGATTCCAATAAATTATATTATTAAATATTTTGTAAAGCATTTGAATCACACTTTGTTAAAATTTACAAATTCATTCTTGAAATTTCATTATTATACTTAATCCTGATTAATGGTGTTTATTCGAATTACATTAAACTTTTCTTTTTGAAATTTAATATTATTTTCCTTGTAATTAAATGAAAAATATTCTTCAGTGATTGAATATTTTATTTTTTAATTTTTAACTCTTTTAGATTAGATCACTTTAAGCTACAATATTGAATATGAAGACAAGAAGAAGGTTGAAAGTGTTAATAGAAACTTTATTATTTAGAGTTATAAGTCTAGTCCCAAGATTTATACCCAAAAACTCTGTCAATCTACAGGTCTACTTATACAAAATTGCTAACTATCATAAATAATACATGTAAAAGTAACTTGGACGTTGCATATCTGATGTGATATTCGCCGCAGTGTGATGTCATCTGAGGCGCAACATGATCTGCGTCTAACACCGGATAATCCATTTTATCTTAGATAAAAAACGGCATAGCCACGATCATGAATCTTTCGGAAAGGGATTAATTAATTAAGGATCGTGGATTTTGTTGATAAAAATAGTTATTTCCACAATTTTTTTTTTTATTTTAAATTGTTTTGTCTGGATTAGATAAAATAGCCATCACCACTTTTTTTTTAATCGTTGTTATTTTAATTACTTATGCGTAAAGAAAAAAGATATATATATATATTTTTTTTTTGCTTTTCGTTAAATATCAAAAGAATTTCATTGTAATTTGTTCTTTTTATTTATTTATTTGATTTTACTTTTATTTTTGATTTTTTTTTTTTTTTGTTGAATTATGTGTCAGTATAATGAAAACGATGATGAAAAATATAAATATGTTTATGATGAAGATTGCTTAGAATATTTTACGCCTGAAGAAAAGTACATTCCAAAAGTTAAAGGTCATGACGATAACTCTTCTAAAGTAAATGATGAGAACGTAAAAACGGAGTCATACGTTCCTGGTACAACCTATCAAGAACTCACCATCGCGGACGATCAAGTTTCGTCAGACCAATCGAACGATCATCATCCAGGATTCTTTCAAAAGACTTCAACAAAAGTTCTTTTTGGTATTTCCATAATATTGGTTTTAATTATCGGGATCGTATTAATTTACTTCATTAATCGGAAAAGAAGGAGGAGAAGGATTGGGCGCTCCGTTTACCCCCAGCCTAAACCTAAACCTAAAGATAAAAATAAAACTAAAGATAAAATTAAAACTAAACGTCACAAAAAAGGCGGTAAAACTTTTTCTGATACGTCGTCATCCATATTCCTTGAAGATCCAACACTCAATATAACTACAACCCCACAAAGGGAAATAAATATTATGAGTCAATATATTTCTTCAACAGGAACTACCACACCGTATCAGTTTCCGCCTCAAACACCTCAAACGCCTCAAACGCCTCGACGATCAGAAAGTTCAATTAGCACGCAAGAAAAATTAGAAAAAGTGAGTGACTATTTAACTGCACAGGGTGTAGATACAACAACTCCTTCTCAGAACATCCTAGAAGGCACGTCGGAACCTCAATGGGAATCTGAACCACATCAAATTCCGACACAACAAGGTGCTACCAGTCCTCGTGGAAGGGCTAGTTCCTTAGAGCCTATTGGAAGAGTTCCTTCACACTCTCAATCGGGTCGATCTTCTTCTGAATCAAATCGAAGAATTTCATCACCTTCACATGAACCACCAACAGATTATCGTATAAGTCATGAGAACTTACCGTCGGTTATACAACAACCACATGACTATTTTCCCATAGGCCGCGTAACAATTGAAAATTCGCTTGAACAAGGTTCACAACCACCCGATACTACCGGACCTATGATGCCTCCTACTCCTCTTTCTAGACATTCTCGACGTGGACGTTCTCGAGGAGCTCACTAGAACAATATAACCCTTTTTTTCAAACAATTGTATATACATAATTAAGTTTTTTTATCTATTAAATAAGTAAAACCGTTTTTAACATTAGTAATTTTGAAAAAAAAATTTTTTTCAGAAAGGTAAAGTTATGGAACATTTTATACTGATATATTTATATCATTTCTTTTTTTATAAAATTTCTAATAAACAAAAAAAAAAAAAAAATATTTCTCACTTAAATGAACGATAAACTACATATGCTCATTATTTTACGTTATAAACAATATATTAACCGTATTGAAGGCTTGAAATATAAAGGGCTTAGTAATTCACGGGTTATACAATAAATTCCTTGCAAGCTCACAAGGTTCCTGGAAAATAAACGAAGATGAGCCAATTCATTATGTAAAAGGATGGACTCTTTTATTATAATGTTTAAATCACACTTTTGTTAAAATTTAAAAATTTCATTCTTGAAATTTCATTATTATACATTATACTTAATCATTGGGTTTATAATTGTCCGAAGCGTAGCGCAGGGCTATAAGACCATGCAATGTCCGTCTGTCACGCCGCGTGTATGCCCAATGAAATTTTAGGATCAGGTGTAACATAATAAAAATTCGCGGTAATTTATCAGATAAGATCGATATAGTTTAAATAAGTAACGAAAATAATAAATGAAAATAACAACAGATATGATCAGTTAGTTTTAAATAAATAAATAACGTTAATGATTGGACATATGATTAACACTAATTGTTCCATCATGAATTATTTATTCATTGTAAAATATAAGTTGTGTTGCGATATAAAATAAAAATAAAATACAAAAAAGTTGCAATTAAAAAAATAGAACACTTCTCGTGTGAAATAAAATTTTTTTTTATCGAATATTTGCAACGTAGCACAAAATATATACATTTTTTAGCTTTAAACTGATACATTTTTATTTTAGCGGTAAATTTTTTAAACGGTACATTTTAATTTTTTTAGCGATACATTTGTTAAGCGATACAGTTTTTTAGTGACATTTTTTGGTAGTGAGTATTATTAATATTCATGTGACTATAACGCTTCGGACGCTTTAACGGGTACTGTTCCCTAGTATTAAAAGATGTTAAATGAAAAATATTCTTTTAATTTTTAACTCTTTTAGATAGATTACTTTAGGCTACAATATTGAATAAAAAAAACTTTTTTTAAATTTCAGCTCTTCATTTTTTTCCTATTATTTTTATAAAAAAAAAAATTAATTCAATAAAATTGAGATTTACTTAAATATAAAAGTTTATTTCATTCAATGCAGTAATCTAATATAATATTAATATCTAATAATAAAAAAATTCAAAAATCAAAAAAAAAAAAAATAATAAAAATAAATAAGTAAAACTTATATGTAATTTAATTAATATAGCAGTTTAATTAGATCAAACAATCTTAAAAAACATAAAAATTAAAAATATTAAAACAAAATATTAAAATAAAAAAAAATATAATTTCAATAGAAAATCTGATATATAAAAAAAACTGTAATAATAATGAATATAAAAATCAATAAAAAAAATCCAAAAAATTTACATTTATTTTATTGAAAACTTAAAAATAAAAAAAAATCTTAATTTATCTATCAAAAATCTATAAAATCAATAAAGCAAAAAATATTAATAAATTAAAAGATAACTATAATATTATTTAATTATAATCTTTTTTTAATCTAAACTTAATTTATAAAAACTAAGAAAAATATAAAGAAATTTAAATTATATATCTTTATTTATAATTAAAAGTAATATATAATTAAATTTATTAATGTTGAATAAAACTGAAATATTTAATCATATGATGAAACTAAAACTATTTAGTCTTTAATAATTAAAAGCTGAAATATTGCAATTTTATTTTATGGATGTTTTATAGATTTTATGAATTTTAACTTATAATTTTTAATTTTATTTTACTATAAATTTTAGAAATTTAGAATTTTTGTAAATAATATACTATTTATTATATTTTGTTTACTATATAAGAAGTTTGCTAAGAAAATTGTGTTTTGAGAAATTTTTAACAAACTTTTGATTTTTATTACATTTTAGTTTTTGATGTTATTAGATTAAATGTAATAAGGTTTTTAATTTTAGTAAAAAATTTTTAGAGCCTGATTTTCTTAAAAAACTTCTTATAAAATAATTTTGATTTATATATTTAATTAATAATAAGTAATAAAAAATTTAAGTTAAAATTAATAAATAATAATAATAATATATTCTTTAATAAAGATAAATAAATAAAAATTTATAATTTATATATTATAAAAGCAGTTTAAATTTAGTTATTTACTAAAAGTATAATCAAAAGTTTAAACTTTAGTTAAACACAAAATTTGATAAAAATTTAGTAATAATAAAATAATTTAATTAGGTATCACTACCTTTAGGTACTAGAAGTATATTATCAGAATTTTAACAGGTTAAACAGATCTATAATTTTAATATTATAAAATTTGAAATTCTAAAGTTAAATATAATTATAAGATTTTGATTTTAATAATTTTTGAAAAGTTAATGACAGTATTTTCTTATAAAAAAAATATTTGATTCTTATTAGCTGTAATTAATATTTTATCTAAATTTATTTTATAATATATTCAATATCTTAGATATTTAATGAAAATATGATAAAATAATATTGATAATTTAATGAAGATAAATTAGAATTTTAATTGAAAAAATCTAGTATTTCATTTTAACTTTTTTAAATTAATTATTTTATATTATTTTTAAATATAAGATTTTTATTTTTTATTCTCTCAATATTCTATCATATATTATATCTAATTATATTAATTAAAGATAAGTTTTAACTATTAAGATATTTTTTACTTACTTTTATACATAAATTTGTTTTATTAAAATAGCAAAATAAAAATTTGTTGATTATAGATATCTGAATAATATTTAGTTTTTAAAAATAATCTAAATAAATTATTAATATTTGAATATTATCTAAATAATATTTGAATAATTATCTAAATATCTAGATTGAAGTAAATTTATATTGATTAGATATATAAATAGATGAATCTAAACACTGCTTAAAATTAAAAAACTTAAAGTAAAGATATAAAAAATTTACTTTTATTAAAATAAGAAATATAGATTTTATTTTAAACTTAAAATATTTTTTAATTTATAAAATTAATTAAAAATTATATATAATTTTATTTAGTAAAAAGTTTTATTTAAAAATTTTATTTTATTTTTTTTAAAAAAATTTACTTAAATAATTAAAAATATTTTTAATTTATTAAAAAATATATCTAAAAATATAAAAAAAAATTAATATTTTTTTCTTATAATAAATTTTTAAAATATAAATAAAATTATAAAAAAGTATTAATAGACTTTTATAATAGATTATATTTTAAAATATATAAAAAATTAATAAAATATATTCTTTTTTTATTTTTTTTATAAGTTTATAAATTAAACAATTCTTAGTTTAAATAAAATTACAAATAATTTTAATTAGTTTATAATTTTAAATAATATTTTAAATAAA